AAATAAAAGGTTTTCGAGATCCTTCCCCGCAAAGTACAATTTTTTTTATATTTTTACAAAAAAAATTGAAAAAATCGGTAATGATTGTTCGTTATCTTTGAATCTACAGGGCGTAGCAAAAAGTGTTGTATGCACAGCTTATAGAAAATTTTATTACCTTTTAAAAGCTTCCAACCGTTTTGGAATTGCTTAATTCGTTCTTTAGATATATATGATTAAGTGGACCCAATGTTTTTTTTTTTTGCAAAAACGGTAAATTGCAAATATCTCAAAAACGGTACCATAAAATTAAAAATAACCTTGATTTTCGGCCTCAGGGGGTGATTTTACATACGAATTTCATAATGGCGTCTCTGGTAAATTATGGCCGTCGACCAGTGCTATTAATTAACATTAAGTGATGATATTTAAACAATTTTAAACATCTTATGTGTAATTTTTCTCTACGCTAAAAATTTTTTATATGAAGGTAAACAGACAGAGTTCAATTTTATTAACACGATGTGTAAAATGGCACACATTAGGAGAGGAAACTGATTACCTCAAAATTTTTTTAGAGGTTACATCGATTCATAATAAAACTAGGAGACCTGGCGAACTTCGTCCCGCCCAAAATTAATTTTTTTTATCTAAACATTTTCACTAACAATTCACGTTGACAACTTTCAGTGGCACATTTATCTGCTCCAATTATGGTTTTGTGGTCGTCATAAGGCATATCTTTTATTGCAGTCTTAAATAACCTAACGAAAGTATTATACCCCTGAAGAAGTTCTTGCGATTCCCCAATGATCTGGCATTTCATACCAAGGTTAATCCCACAACTGTCGCTTTCTTGTATTGCGTTCAATTATTAGATATTATAATTGATATTTTAAGGGAGTTCGTTGGAAAGGAATGACGAAAAGTTCAGATAAGGCTTCAACGAATACAAAATGATTAATTTGTTTATTACAATGTTTGTCTTTAACAATGTTTTATAATTTTTTTAACTAATTTAATTTTTATTAATCAACATTTTCAATTAATTAAGAACTAAGCGATGGAATATTTCTCGTTAATCTTTCTTTCATTAAAACAAATAAATTCTATGGTCTTGCAACACGTGAGCACGCAACATACAGCTGTCCATGGGAGAAACACGGATTCTCTAAGTCCAAGCCACAAGTAGCCATTGTCTACCCTTGCGACTTATTTATTGTCATCGCGAAATCCAAACGTATCGGAAATTGTACCCTCTTGAAAGGTATTGTAGATTCTGATGGTATCATAGGTATTCAAGGTAACAGGACGACTTCTCCTCTAAATTTTTCAGTCAGTATCATTGCTTCGATTACGATTCCGGTAATTCTTTTGATGGCTAATCGTGTACCGTTGCATAGGTTTGGTGGATTTAAGTTACGCAAAAGAATGACTGGTGAACCAATTTTCAGTGGAAGTTTGGGTGGCGGCATTCCTGGCATATCCAGAGAATTCAAAAATTCAATCGGAAAATCTAAGGTCTCGTTTTCATCCATGGTGGAATAATAACAAGGTGTTGTCAGTAGCGACGTGTTTGTTGTAATTTTGACAAAAGATCGGCATGCTTATTTTCAGTGCTTCCGATCTTAATTTTTATACTACTATTCGTTGGGAAATAGTATCTAAAATACTCCATTTCGTTTTATAGCGATTTTTAAAGAACTTGGTGTTTTCAGAACGATATTAATATTTAAAATTGCTGGATTTGTATTATTTTTGTCCTCAAAATATAAAATATAAAAGATATCGTGGTTATCAATGGAAAAATACGTACACAAAAATCGTATGGAAAGGCGATTTTTTTATATTAAATATCTTTTGCTGCATTTTCATAATATCGAGCCAAATGGACTACTGATACACTAGAATAGAGCGGCAGCACGGTTAGATTACGATTTCGCTTATATTATCGGTATTTATGTGTTTTAATCTATTTAAAAAATCATATACAGTCTTATAGGAAATTTCTCTATTTTACGGCCTTTCCTTTTTCATAACTTACAATATATGTCCAAGCTGTGTGGAGCTAACGATACAAACATATATTCAGGCTTATAAGCTTGTAACCATACATTTTCCTATATTTAATTTGAAATAGTATGCACAAACGGATTAAAAGTAATAAATAATTAGTACCTTTTCTACTACTTTAAAATGCGTGACCGGAATAGACCTGCCGAAAAAGTGAGGTTAAGTTACTGACAACACCTTGTTATTATTACACCATGGTTTTCATCAATAATTGTGTCGTTTGACTTAAAATCCACCAGATTGCCTGGCAACAAATTTTTTATTTGACAGTTAAGTTCGTCAACATCGGCATTTTTTGCTGCTAAAAGTACTCGAATATCTGGAAATATACTCTCAATTAGTTCGCTTTTTTAATGAACAACAGAGCAGAAATTGTCTGGTAATTCGATACATTGTGAATTTGGATGCTGTTCGATTTTACCGTTACCAATATCCAGTAATTGATTTGAAAATACTCGTGCCAGTGGATCATTATGCAATTATACTCACATGTTTATGGTCAATCGAATTGTTTCAACGGTTTTCCGTTAAAATTATTGTTGCAAACATCCGTCAATCTCATAAGCATAATATATCTCCATAACACAATGGAAGTGTATGCGCAGTAATTTAGTTAGGTATTTGATTTAAGAACTTTTGTAAAAGTAAATATCGCTACTTTATAACGTATGATTCTCTAAGGGAATTTAGATGGGTTCACTTCGATCGGACTGGTATCTTCGGTCACGTTTTAAATATCTGCATGTACTTATATCAGGGTATGCAAAAACTTGTATATGCCCATATACATATATAATTAAATTTAAGCAGACGAAGACTATCACCTTATAACAAAAAGAGATTTCAACGAAAACTCGCAATCTGCTCGTTATATGTTACAACTTGCGATAGGACCATCATCAGTATTTAAAACTTTATTCCACTTTATTCCAAGCTCCGACGCGAAGACTTGTGCATGTATTGATGCACACCCCCGATTTTGCAAAATTAAAAAAAAAAACTTCAATTACCGGAAAAAGGTATCATATATGTTAATACAGGCAATAATCGACGCTACCTAAGTACCAAATTTGTAGCAAATCGAATCATAAATACGATTTTTTTCGAATAGATCAGTCCCTGGTCCCCTTCCCGGCAAAGAAGGTATTCTGCATGTTAACCTTGGCAAAAACTTACCCCCGTATCCAATTTCAAGCAAATCGACACATAACTACGATTTTTTCGAATAGATCGGTCCCTGGCCCACTTCCCGAAAAAAGTATTCTATGTGTTAGTCTAGGCAAACAGCTACCTACGTACCAAATTTCAAGCAAATCGCACCATAAATAACATTTTTTCGAATAGATCGGTCCCTGGTCCACTTCCCGGAAAAAAAAGTATTATATATGTTAACCCAGGCAAAAATCTACCGACGTACCAAATGTGAAGAAAATCGAACCATAAATAAAAAATTTTCTAATAGATCGGTCACTGGTCCACTTCCCCGAAAAAAGTATCCTATAGTATGACCAATGTAATAAGCTACCTACGTACAAAATTTCAAGCAAATCGGATATCAGTTTCGGAGTTCATCGTGGACACAACGATACGCGAGAATTATATCACACGTTTAATAATATAGAGATGTAACTCAAAATTAACGATTTTGGAGATTTCGTTATCCAATTAATATGTTTGAAAAGAAGAATATGTTGAGTCTAACAGACAACCAAATTTCCCAAATATGGCGATGATATATGTCTTTCCATCCGTCTTTTTAACCGACTTCCAAAAAAGAAAGAGGATATCAGTTCGTCGGAATATATATTTTTTATTTTTATTTTTTTATATTTTTTTTTTTTATGTTTGTTACCGCATAACTTTGGACGATTTCGATAATTCTTTTTGCATCGGAAAGGTAGTGTCTCAGAGGTGGTCCCATACTGATCTGGTTTAGATCCGATCATTAGATCATGAAGTATATATATATATATATAATTTTTTTTAAGTCGGTTTTTTTTTTGCTAAAAATTACTTGTTGTATACCAACTGTATGAATTGATAAAACTTTGATTGCGTTTTCTCGCAAAATTTAAATTTTTAAATACTTCCTTATATTATTAAACGTGCGATATATAATAGAAAACACAGCATCCCTATTTCGAGGGAAACACACCGAAATATAGCTATTTTGACATGTTTACACATATCTATATGTACCTACATATCACACACGATCTGCAAAAGTGACTCAACTCAAAATTAAACGTTTCTCAGAAAATGCGAAGGACTATTTCTTAGCACACGCTAATCATATGGGCAAAAGACACTTTACCTAAGGTTTTTTCAACAAATTATAACAAAAAATCACTCAATCTTTTGCTGAAAAGGAAATAAAAGATATATGTACATTTTTAGTGCATAAATTCAAAAATGCAAAATTTTTAATTGGGTCACTTTTGAAGATCATGTGCGATATGTGCGAAATAATGGCAGTGAGAAATTTTGACCAATTTTTCCTATTCTTCATTGATTCTATTTTTGATTCATTGATTATTATTTTTTTTTAGTTTCGTATAAGAGTTAGGGATGCAAATTTTGAGGAGTAACATCGATACATCGATGTCTCGATGCGTCGGACAAATCAACATTGATGCTAAAATACATCGGCAGAAAAAGATCGATACATAGATGGTTTCCGATGTTATACAATTTGTAGTGATTTTAGAAACAAAAATTTATAGTTTTCAATATAAAACAATACAGCCTTCTGTAATACAGCTAGAGTAATCGATACAAATGAATGCATTTCTCTATATTTAAATCACACTCCTGTATGTACCCTTCCTATAATTACTTATGTCAAATATAAATTCATACCATAAGGTATCTGATTTTCGTAATTCTAAGAGCAATGAGAATTTTCTATCACTTTGACAAATTTGTCGCAGACGGTGGTCGATCCTTTTTTAGGCTTTACGTAAGCATTACCAAAACTGGATTTCAAAAAGTTAATAACATAAGAACTCATGATCAGTTAGAAATTTTAGAAAAATACTGGGTAAGTTGAATCAAATGAGGTTTTAAGTTACACTAAAATCGATGTTTAAAGCATCTATGAAACTGACATCGATGTATCGTCATTTTACCGATATTAGAAAATTGTAAACATGCATGGCAAACATCGAATTTTTAACCGATATTATCGATGTTTCTAAAACATCGATGCATCGTTTGCACCCTTAATAAGAGTCTAGCTCATAATTTAATTTAGCAAACACCATAAATGTATGCACAGAAACTGACATTTCAAACTTTGCACAAAGATTATAAAAGCTCAGCAAGTTTTCACAACAACAAATTTTAAATTCAGAACTTCGAGAGAGATTCCAAGTTTACTATTTTACGCATTTTCTTCCATATAAAGTTTGGCTGACTTCCAAAACGTATCAATAAAATATTTGGAACTGTTATACTTTGGAATTCGAACTGTTTGTATATGCAGAGTTGCGACACATTGCAACCATATCTTCTTCTCTTCTTTCTTTATTGGCGCTGTAACCGCCTAAGCGATTTTGGTCGAGTCCAAAATAGCACGCCTGTCATTTCTCTTCTGTGTTAAGTGACCCCAATTGGAAATGCCAAATGAAGCCAAGTCCTTCTCCACCTGG